ATGGCAACACCACAATCCTTTCTCCTCCATTCTCCTCTCAGATCTTGAGCACACATGCAAATGCACCCGGTGTGAGTTTATACCACTGGGTCCGGGACTCGAACCGCGGTCGACTACATGGAAGTCCAATGACATACCCATTATACCAACTGCTGGTCCCTTTCTCATTTAATTTTAAAGGCTGAACCCCTCTAATCCAAAAATCTAAAACCTGAAACCAAAACCCAAACATTTTTGACCACTGACATAACACAAGAGGAAAATTGACCTTGAGACAAAAACCTGACTTCATATAACAGATTCCATTCAAAATGCTGCAATTGAAAAATAAATAGATAAATAAAAGGCATATGAAAACTAAATGAATTTTGTGTTGAGACTTAGGTCCCATCCCCCAGATATCTTATTAAGTATACACAAATATTCCAAAATCTGAAATCTATGCTAAGCACGTGACAGGCAGTAACTCATTTAACTCTCAGTTCATTCAACTCTTATTTATTTATTTTGTTAACTTGCCAAATGGTGTGTGCACTTCTAGAGAGAAACCCCTAGGATCTGTGGCAAGCACACACCTGGCATACCAGGTCTGGACTTAAACCACATCATCAGCCATGTGGGATCCAGTCGCCTTACCCACAGGCCACAGGCCAGCCCCACATTTATTTAATTACTGAGAGAGAAGGGTCTCAGCATCCAGCCAGCTAAGATAATGCATATACCCAGCCTCAGGTCGACCTGGGATCTGAACCTGATGCCCTCCCATATGGCTCCAGCATTGTACTACCGCCAGTGCCAAGCCCTACCTCCTGGGCTTACTGTGTCCATGTTATGCATAAGGAAACAGGTGGTTCAGTAATTTTCTTCTTCTTTTTAAAGAACTATTTTATTTTATTTTATTTTATTTTATTTATCTCTCTGTCCCTTTCTGGGAGAGAGAGAGGGAGAGAGAGAGAGAGAGAGAGAAGAAAGCAAGCTACCAGGTCCAGGACCCAAACCCTGGTTGGCTACGCAGGAGTCCAGCACTCCTAACCACCATGGCACCTGCTGGCCGCAGTTCAGTAATTCTCACAAATACATTAAGTGGGAGGAAAGACAGCTGAGCCCAAGCATTCATGACCCAAAGCCCTTGCTCCCAGCCGCTGTGCCACACCGTTCTTACTACGTGCTGACAGTGACCTTCTGCCTGAGTCATTTTGGGATCTTAAGGTTTCCACACTAATCAGAAGTACCTGTCTATGAGAAATTATTATGTCATGAATTAACTCATTAATATTTGCTCCAGCCTGTTGATTTTTGGGATAGGACACACATGTGCTCACCAGAGAGACAATGAGAGAAGTGAGAAATCAATTCCTCCTCTCGGGATTTTGGGCACACGCACACACATATCTGGTGTGATTGGCAAGCCACTGGGCCTAGAAGTTAAATCACAGCCAGACATGTGAGAGTCCAGTGCCCTAACCACCATGGCACCTACTGGCCCCAGCCAGCTTTACCTGCTAATTCTTTCAAAGTCCTTTCTATCTATACAGTCTCTTCTATAAGAAAAATATAATCCAATGGCTAATGAGGGCAAAGGATAAAAACCAGAAATCTATATTCAAGGAAATAAAATTGACCAATAACATATTAAAAGATAATCTTGGGACCTGCAGATGATGTAATGGTTACATAGCTGGACTCCCATGTAGCTGGTTGTGGTTTGAGTCTGGGACCCGGAGGCTTAAACCTCATGCTGGGCAGGTGTGTGTGCGTGCCCAAGATCCTGAGAGAATTGAGGAGAACGGACTGTGGCGTGCCCATCTCCCCTGGGGGAGGTGATTTCTTGGGCTCACCCATGGCCTGGTGGTTGAGGCAGATGGATCACACATGGCCAATAGCACGGTTCAATTCCTGGACCTGGTAGCTGGACATACACATCACACACATGTGCACGAGTGCCCAGAACCTCAAAAGGAGGGAGAGATGAGGAAGAAAGGATTGTGGCATGACCATTCCCTATGTAGACAGCTTTTTTACTTCCCCCTTCTTCTCTCTCCCCAGGGAGCACACATGCAAACTGGGGGGTAGAGGGGAAAACTAATCTTCATAGACTCAGGAATATTCTCAGAAAATGCCAATTCCAGCAAAACGAGATACTACCGTTCAAGCACTGAGTAAGCAAAAATGTAAGTGACTGTTTTATGTACTAGTTAACACTTAAATGAATTCTCTGTCTTAAATTAATTCAGCTAAAGTCCTCTCAAGGATAAAGAAAATATTTTATTCCTTTGAAATAACCATCAGAAAGGCAATAAAGCCTCTTAAAGAAAATAAAAGAATTCTCATGTAACACATAAAGCAATACATAAATAAATCAAACAAACAAGTGATTTCCTTTTAAATGAAGAAAAGTAAGGAAATATCAAAGTTAAATTTTATGGTCTCTTAAGTATCTGTGGCACAAACAGTGATCTGCTCTCCAGGGTGATTCAGAAAAAGCAAAATACACAAGGGACAGACTCACCCCAAAGTCCTGAAAGCTGCCTGATCCAGGTGGACAGGCCGCCGGTCCCGGTTAAAGCCAAGCTGTGGCTTCCACTGCCGCCCATTGCTAGATTTTTCCCAGTCACTAGGTTTCAGAACTGCTGCTGGCTTCCTGGTCATGTGAAAGTACAATAATCAGTTATCTGGGTAACAGCTTTCATACAAAGACACCCAGGTAGTTTATGTTGTTACCTTGCTCCTGGAAGCATGACAGCTTTAAAAATGTAATCTTCAGCAAACTGTGGGTCTTTAAAATTAATACTAGAAGAGAACAGAAAAGCATTAGTGATTTGATCACACTAGCCTGGCTTCATTATCATGTGACTGAGGTATTTTCATGTCCAAGCAGAATGGCAAACATCTTCCCACCACACTGCCCGGTCCCTAGTGCAGAGCCCTCTTGGAACTCTGCACATGGAGAGCCGGGCTCAGGCTGACCATGGGTGACCACAGAGGGTTAAAAGACACTGCCAAACTCCCGAGAAAAGTTCCCTGTGATGAGGGAGACAGGGCAAAGAGGTTTACAAGAAAAAGCGCAAGCTGTTTTAGAATCCCTTCCATTTTTGTTCAGTCTACGGCAAAGAACCCCTAGCATGTTAGGGAGTCTTAGCTCTTATTGCAAAGAAGAAAAGGTGTATAAACTAAAAATATTTCCAAAGTCAGAAAGTACACACGATTAGCTAAGAAATATCTGGGCAAAAAAACCCGCAAATCGCAACACTCAACTTCCCAGTTAGAGCCCGTTCCCTGCTCTCCTATTGTGTGTGTGTGTGTGTGTGTGTGTTCGTGTGTGTGTGTGTTTCTTCTCCATTTTCTTTGCACACACTCATCAGACAGACAAGGGCAAAATGAGAATGCACTCCCCAGGGGGATGGCCACAGAGCAATCCCTTCTTCTCCATTTTCTTCTTGGGATTTTGGGCATGCATGTACATGCACCCAGCATGTTTCAAGCTGGCAGGTAGAGGATCTGAACTGCAGGGTTAGAGTTCTCCCTGTGGGATCCACTGTCTTAATCAAGATGCCACAAACTGGACCTATACTTGCTAAAATAATGAAATGGTCACAATAGCAAAACTATACAGATGTCTGCTTTTTAAATAAAGCTAAAGAACTCAGACTCTGAGTATAAGCTGAGCCAAACTTTCTTTCCAGTGGTGGGTGGTATATGTGGTATGTATGGGTGTGTGTGGGTGTGTCATCTCTCCCAAACATGGTAAGTACATGAGTCTCCTTCTGACACAGTCATGCCTCTCCTAGGACTCTACCCATCAGCTTTATAAGTAAGTATGCTCATAACACCATTATTCATAACATTGAAGGTCTGTAAAATATAAATATACAAACAACAGTGGATAGATGAAAGAAACAAGAGTTCTTTCTAAAAAGAGAATCCTTAGGTGATGTTTTTCAAATTCTAGTTAAGAGAATTACTGAATGACTTGTCTAGGTCATGTAGACATACATTCATCACAAGGTTACCAGTGATTTTCTCTGTACAATCATTTCCTTTTCTTCCTTGTGCTATATTTTTACTTCCCCCAATCTCGCCAGTAATTCCAGATTATAGCTTCAATTAGTTAGAAAGGTTTTGCTGGCCCAACCGCAGCTGCATGCAGTGGCTGATGCTGCACTAGGCAGGCTATGGCCGCATAAGAGGCCTGGGTTAATTTCTGGCCCACTCTGAAAAGTTGGGCATGGTGGCACACGCCTCTCGTCCCAGCTACTAGAGAGGCCAAGGCGAGGGAGACCACCTCATAGCAAGACCCTGTCTAAATGAGGGGAAGAAAAAGGTTGCATTAAAAACTGGTGGGCATTTTTAGACAGCTAACTTTTTTCTTTAGTCAGTGCCATTTTAACAACTAGAGCATATGTCGTACAGACATTTTCATTGTAGTAGAATTTATATTTTAAGTACACAAAAATAGCCTCACTCACAATAAAATCACCAGGAGCTCCAGAGCACTTGAACCACACTTCATTTACTCCATCAGTGCCTCTTACGAATAACAACTGTCTCCACCTCACATGTTCTCACTGGGCAAGGTGGCATAGGGCACGGCAAAGTAGGACAGGCAGTGGCGAGGTTTAAGAGGGTGACAGAGACAACAGCAGTGAAGTATTTGGGCTCAACAGGGCTTTCCAGATAAAGTAATGACAGAAAACTGGTAATACAGCAAGACTTGCAACAGAAGTCTCTCAGAGCAGGTATTTTATCTCAGCAGGGCTCTCGCGGCAGTTTACAAAATGTGAGAGTACCCACTGTCTCTGTGGCTTCACAGTGGGTGTTGGTACTCACAATGACCAGGCAGGAAGCCTGCCTTCTTTTCTGAAAAGGGGAACGAGAAATGTCCGGTTACAGTTTTATAAGGAAGAAAAGTAGAAAATGCAACAGGCACAGAAAAGACGCTGAGTCAAAATGTGTGTGTAAACACCTCTGCGTGCATGCTGTGTCCGTGTGGGCTGAAGGTATGCATGTACGGAGGAGGTTCTTTCATGTGAAAACTAAGGTAACAACAGGCTGTGATTTAAGATGGAACAGGTCTTGTTACAGGATGCTAAAGAAAGCAAGTGGAACAAAAGCACGAACTGCAGACATGACAGATACTGTAGGTTCTTGAGCCTCATTTCCCACACGGAATCCCCAGCTGAGAGGAGCTGAACTGGAGTGAAAAGTGTACGAACAGAACAGGCAGTAGGAGAGGTCAGTTGGGGCCAGCCCGTGGCCTGGGGGTTAATAGCCTGGAAGTCACATGGCCAATTGAGCCACAGGGCTGGTTTAAGTCCCAGGCTCAGCAGCTTGAGAAATATACAGTGTGCATATGTTCCCGGAGGGAAAAGAGGAGGAAACAAGATTGCAATGTGACCATGGGAGTGGGGGAAGACTATGGGAGTGGGAGGTGCCTTCTCCCTTTCTCCCTCTCCCTCCATCTCTGTTTCTAGCCAGCTGAACTGAGTTATGGTCATGAAGGATTTCTGTTACTACAATGTGAAGCCATTTCAAGTGGTCAATAAGAAAGTAAAAATGATCAAAGATGAATTTCAGGAAGAATAACCCTGCAGCAGGGCGTAAGAAAGTGCAAGGTGACACCTGTGGGAGCCTTCCCCATGTGTCTGAGATGTTCAGGATGCCAGGAAAGCAGATGGAAGGGCAGGGCCAGAGCCAGGATGGACAGCAGGTTCAGGTGTGGCAGATAACTGCTAGGGAGAAGATGCAATCCCAAGATTGCAGGGGTAATCTCTCCTGAAGGACAATGGCTCCAAGAAAGAATTAATAAAATAGCTAAAACTAATGTTTTGAGGAGGAAAAAATCTATCTATTCACACACAGTGGTATGGCAATTTTCTCTAACAAAATTGTTTTCAAAACTCCATTTCTTTATGCTCATGTTTGGAAATTTTCCAAACCAATTGGAAAATCTCTGAATTCTCTATTTCCCCTCAGAATCACAGTTATACACTTAATATTGTACAAACCACTAGGAGACAGAAAAGGAATATCTAAAGTTTAGAAACTCCCAAGGAAGAGACAAATTCAGTATAATCTCAAAGACTAAAGCACAGTTTTTCCTTGGAGCTTTGAGAACAGCTTGAAGGCTAACTCTTTCCTAAAATGAGTTATGTTCCACTGACTAAGACATTTTTAGTATTTCTTCTTCTTTTCCTTTTTATTTTTTTTTTTTTGAGAGATTTTTGCTATAGGGCATATGCGCTCACTGGAGAGACAGAGAAAGGCAGAGACAGAAAGCGAGAAATCACTCCCCAGGAGTTACAGCCACGCCACAATCCCTTCTTCTCTTGGGATTTTGGGTACATATGTACATGCACCCGGCGTGAGTTTTAAGCCTCCTGGTCTGGGACTCAAACCAGTCAGTCATGTGAGAGTGCAGAAATTGCAACTATTACACTATTATCTGACGGCCCCTAGCATTTCATTTTGTTGGCAAAAATGTATACTAATATTTATGATCTTAGAAACGTGCTTTTCAGGGACTAGCAGTTAGCGTAATGGCTATGTCACTGGACTCCCATGTAGCTGACTATGATTCGAGTACCGGACCCAGTGGCTTAAACTCATGCCAGGTGCGTGTGCACACGTGTCCAAGATCCTGAGAGGAGAATGAAGGAGAAGGGAAAGGGACTGTGGTATGCCCACCCCCCCCGGGGGGGGGTGATTTCTCACTTTCTCTCTGTCTGTCCGTCTTCCTGGCGAGCACACGCGACCTATATAGCAAAAACCTCTCAAAATAAAAAAAAGAAAACGAGCTTTTCAGACCCAGCAGATGGTGTAGTGGTTAAGGTGCTATATTCTCACATAGCCAACTGTGGTTCAGGTCCCAGACCTGTTGGCTTAAAAAAAGATCATGACATATATATAAATATATAGTGTCTTAAAACTCATGCCAGGTCCGTGTGCACCCAAAGTTCCAAGAGAAGAAAGGACAGAAGGGACTGTGGCATGGCCATCCATCCTGGGGGATGCTTTCTTGCATTCTGTTCCTCTGATGAGTGAATACACCTTACAGCAAAAAAAAAAAAAGGAAGAAAGAAAAAGAAAAAAAGAATCATGCTATTCTAGGCCAGTCAGTGGCTTGAAACACATGTGTGTGCCATCTGTGTATAAAATCCCAAAGGAGTAAAAAATGGAAGAGAAGGGACTGTGGTGTGAACACCCTCTATGGAAAGGCACTTGCTTACTTTTCCTCTTTCCCCCTCTCGTCTCTCCCTAGTGAACACGCATGTTTTTTGGCAAATTAAAAAAGAAAAAAAAAAAAAGAAAGAAAGATACTTTTCTGGTGTGAAAACATCAGCGACAACTCAAACCAATTTCCTAAAAATGAAACTGATGAACTAGGCAGAAGACAATTAGGCAAAGACCCAAAGGGTACCTCTTTTTAAAAATTGCTAGAGGGTGTGTGTACTCACCAGACAGAGACGAGAATACCCCGGCCCCCACGTGGCTTGCTCATACCATAGTCCCTTCTGCATTTCTCATCCTGTTGAGATTCGGGCACTCACATGCACCGGCATGTTCTTCAAGCTGCGGATTTAAACCGCAGCTGACCCCGTGGGATCTGGCTCCCTTAACCACTAGGCTACAGGGCTGGTTCAAATTATAAATTTTCATACAGATCTAAACTTCTACAATTCCTTCATTTTTTTTAGGTTTATATGATTTAAATTCTTATAAACAGAGCACTGAAAGAAAAAAATAGAGACTGCCTTTGACATTGAAATTTCTGTCATCAGAAACAAAACAGATTACCTATGGAGAGTTTACAAAAGCGCCCCCAGAAGTATAGGAAGGACAGTGTAAACAGGATAGCCTTATGGACTCAGCAGGCTGCCCAACTGAGGTAAAAGTACTGTGCTTTCACCTAACTCTGTAGAGGAGAATTATTTCTATCCAATTTTCCCCAAATGTAGGCAAAATAGTGTTGATTCACCCAGCATTAGTGTCTATTCACCAGACCCATTCTCCCCAGTGAGTGTATAGTAGTTCCACTTTTTGATGGGGAACATCCCTCTTACTTTACGCACCTGACTCTTCATAAACACACTAAGGCCAACAGAAATACAATTTTAAAACCTAAGCAGGGTTGAAGAGAAGGAAACTGAACAGTGCTTTTATTTCTATCACAAGTAGCACTTTTAACATTTGGTAAGAAGAAAGTATTAAAACAAAGGCTCAGTAGAAAAGGAATGGAATGTACATCCTTTTCTGATTCAATTTGCTTTAAGGATTACCCTTAGAAATGCTATTTTAAGTCCTATTGTTTGAGAGTGCTGGCACACTTCACAAGAAAGAAGAAAACTCCAAATATCATTTCATCTTCTCTCTAACTTTCCCTAAGACATTCCATAATTAACACGACATCAGCATACCAATGCAAATTGCTCTTGCAGGGAAAGTCATGATTCATATACTTGACATTTTACAACACTTAAGCGAGTTTACAGGACTGTGCCACTCTGTCAGAAGAGGTAAACCTGCAGTGTCCTATAAGGTACTATATGCAGTCAAAGCTACATCCTCCCAAGTGTTTTCCAAGTCCAGTGCTGATCCCACGTACACAGTTGGAGAAACTCCTCTGACGAAGATCTGTGCTCTCAGAAGACTCTGGCAAACACTGGTTCCGATACTATGAACAAGGGAACTTTTATGTGGGCTCAGAATCATGCTAGGCACCGTGCTAAGGTTCCAGTGAAGGCCGTAGACCTCCCTGTGCGCACTGGGCACACACGTGCCCATGACCTGGGGCTAACTGAAGCTGGGGGTGGACTGCAGCGTCACGACAATGTTGGAAGTGCTTTCTCACTTGTCACAGAAGAAATAAACTTGGGGGAAAAAGACTGTGGGACCAGCAGTTAGCGTAATGGCTATGTTGCTGAACTCCCATGTAGTCAATCGCAGTTCCAGTCCCAGATCCGGTGGCTTAAAGTCACACCAGACGTGTGTGCGTGTGTGTCCAAGATCCTGAGAGGAGAATGGAGGAGAAGGGATTGCGGCGTGGCCATACCCCCTGGGGGTGATTTCTCGCTTTCTGTCTCTGTCTTTCTGGCGAGCGCACGTGCCCTATAGCAAAAAAAACCTTTCCAAAAAAAAAGAAAGAAAGAAAAGAAAGACTATAAGAGAAAAGAAAAACCTAACAATACTACTGCTGAAGAAAACATAAATGAAAACTATGCTGTTTTAGAAAAAAGGCAAACCAGTTAAGGGCTGTCAGAGAAAAGAAGAAAAGAGCATTTCAAGCAATGTGAAAAACTACATGCAGAGGTCAAAGGGCCACTGAAAACCAGCCCGGGGAGCAAGGAGGTGCTCTCAAGGAGCGGGGAATTCAGGCAGAGAGCTAGGGCTCTGCCAAATTATGGCAGGGTTGAAAAAGTGAGAGAGAGAGAGCGAGCAAGAGAATATACACCTACCCCTAGATGCGTAAACTGTGCTGCTGTGTCAGGAAGACCTTTTTGCTGTAGTTTAAAATCATATGCAGGCCCAGGTCACGTGGGAGGCCTGAGTTCAATTCCCTATCCCCTCTAAAAGCTGGACATGGCGGCGCATATCTGAAATCCCAGCTGATGTGGGAGGAGTCTCCTGAGGCAGAGACTCACAAGTTCACAGCCTAGGCAAGCAACAGAACATGAGCCTTCCTAGAAGAGCCGGGCGCAGTGGTGCTTCTGTGGTCCCAGCACTTGAGAGTCTGAAGCAGGACACGAGGTCACAAGATAGGGAGGTCCGAGATAAACAGCACCACCCCCCACCCCATGCACGAGATTTTATATATTTAAAGTTAACAAAGAATTATTCCAAAAATACTATGGCTAAGTTTTAATAATGGGAGAAGGCCAGGGTGAGGAAAATTAGGGGGTATAGCTCAGTTCTCTTCAAAATTAAACTACTAATATGTTGAATGATTTATGGCATCAGAATTAGGGGAAAAAATTACCTACTAGGTAATAGCTGATATGTTTTCTAAGGGCTCTTCTAGGAACTTAAGACACTTCACTAACCTGTGTAATCTACTGTCTCAACGTTATAGACAAGATAGAATATGACAGGAGTAACTGACCAAAACTCAACATGAGGGAATGTCTCAGATTTAGAACAGGGTATTGATGCATTCAATCACAGAAAGGGGGAAAATGCCAGCAGTCAAATGAGAAATAACTGGCAAATGACACTGGGTGCTGCATTTTCAACTTTTCATTTATAGAGGAAATACAACAGTGGGACCCATAAGAAGTCCTGAAACAAACACAAAAAAACACTGCAGTAAACTAGATCTCTACCCCTCCGAGATAACACTGAAAATCACTTCATAGTAATATAAAAGTTAACTCTGGGCCCTCATGAATAATTAGGAAATTAACTCGGATTAATTTTATAATGAAGTTATTTTTAACATCTAACTGACTACACACCTAGATCTGGGATTAATTTTTAAAATAACATAATTTTATGAACACTATGGATACCAAATACCAAAGGCCCCTTCAGCTACAGAACTAACCAACCAAACATCCAGCAAAAATAACAGGATCTGTTCATCAAGTCTGAAAACACTCCTTTGGGCGAGCCTCTCTATTCTACTTAGAAAGTTGAGTAAAATTAACTATTTCTAGAGGGCTAGGCATGAGGATACTTAAAAATATGCATAAATAATGAGGAGTACAAGCAAACATGTGACTGTCCAAAAAGAACTGGTGGAGCTACCCAGCCTGAAGCATCAATGCAAGCCAGAGACCTCAGGGTTAATGCACAGTGTCCACACTGAATCTTTCAGGGCTAGACTGTTTGCAATGGGCTTAGAAGCAAGGCTTTCAATTCTGTGCTCCACTCCTAACAAAAGAGGACGAAGACAAAGAGCCAGGACAAATTATATGTACAAATAAACAAAAACTTAGGTACAAAGATAAATGAAAGCAACTAATCCAGGAAGACTTTCCAAACTCTCAATAGTTTCCTTTAAATAAAAGCCTTTCCAGAATGGCAATGAGCTACTACCTAAATCTATTAAAGGTAGGAAATAAGCATGCTTATGTTTTACAATGAGAAATCTAAGTAAAATAAAAAAATAACTCCCACGAGGGAGAGAACCCATAAAATGAGTGGGAAAAGATGGTTCAGAATTAGCAGGCTTTTGCCGAATTCTTGAACACATGAGATGTGTTTGCTTTAGTCTTGCCTAAAGACCGGAGAAAATGATAATACGTACTCTACCGTCACGATTAGTAGTTATAGCACATAAATGAGTAGTAAATTTGTTGCTTTTTATACTAAACGGTCATATTACATTCCACATTACTTTTACTCAACAGAAAACACTTTAAACTTAATTAATTGATCAAAATTTTCACAAATGTATCCGACCTCATCTTAACTGAAATTACATACTATTTTTGTCTTTTAAACTCTGCAGCACCACAAACGCAAACATAATTAAAATAATCTGTTATAATACAGAGAAGCTGTGTGAGTCTCGGGGTGCACAGTTCTGCTTGAGCCTGTGTAGCAAACTACCAGAAACTCCAACTCTCTACCTCCCACTTTCCTAATCCAGGAAGAATTAGAGGTTGTCAGGGGAAACCAGAAAACAGACAAGCAAGCTTGTTAAATCAGTAACCTTAACAATATACGTAATTTAAAGTCAAGAGGCTCTGCTCTGAGGTCTGCAACCCAGGCACTCTCCTATCCCAAAGCACTGGTAGGTTAACAGCTGCCATTTCCTTCTCATTCACAAGTATTTTAAAATTTATTTGCGAGTTCAGAGCTGTGCTCTGGGCGAACGCCATAAATTCTGGAAAACTTACCTGATTGCAGTATTCTGTGTCAGGTCCCGTAACAGGGGAACAGGAGAACACACTACACTAAAATGAAACAAATGAAGAACCACCTATTTGTAAATCATAATCTTTTTTTTAAAAAAAGAATTATTTGTTTAATATTGTCTATCCTGATTATTATTTTTTAACTTGCTACAGGGCACACACACTCACCAGAGACAGAGAGAAAGGGAGAGAGAAAGAAAGTGAGAAAGCAAGCCGCCAGGTCCAGGACTCGAACCGTGGTCAACCAAGTGGGAATACAATGCCCCAACCACCATGCCACCTGCTGGCCCAAATTGTAATCTTTACGTAAGTGGAAATATTGCTTTGCTTGTTAGGCTTTATAAGAAAAAAACATCAATATGAAACTAACAAAAACAATAGCATCATTTATGGTATTTTTTTAAAAATCTAAAAGACTTGTCTTCCTGTTTATCATCTTATAAACAGAAAACAATTGTGGGCAAAGGGCTTATATCAGAATTTGCAAAGAACACCTATAAACCAAAATGGAAGGGGGTTGTGGGAAGGTCCACACAGACTACCTAATAAAAAACAGAACAAGTTGTCTATCTCATTGCTGAGGAAAACCAAACCGCTGACCATTAACCATAAGGCATTCAGCCTCATTAGTTATCAGGGAAATGCAACCAGGAACCACAACAAGATGCCAGTAAGCATCCAGCAGAGTGACAAAAACAGAAGTCTTGTCGATTCCAAGGGTTTGCCAGACAGAGAGCAATGAGCTCTCTCATAAACTGACACTGGGTACAAGATACAGTAGCCACTTTGAAAAATCACAGGATATTACGAGAAAAGATGAAGAGACACACATACTCTTAAGACCAGCAATTCCATTCCTAGATACACATCTTAAAGCAGCATTTCTCAAACTGGCCTCATCATCCTTTCTGGACTCTTAAAAATTACTAAGAACCTTAAAGAGTCCTGGTTTATGTTGGTTACATCTACTAATATTCACCTCTTAAAAAAGTCAAAATTATGAAATTTTAAAAATACTAAACTGAAGATGATAATAAATCTATTACTTGTTAATATAAATAACATTCTTATAAAAACAACTGTTTTCCAAAGTAAAACAAAAATAAATGAGATGAATGTTACTGTTTTGTATTTTTAAAAATTTCATTAATATCTGGCTTTATTTCCACCTAATTCTTCTCTTCTGCTCTGATTCACTCTCTTGAGAAACTACACTATATTCAGCCTCTGGAAAACTCCACCGTGGGCAAGAGAGGAAGAGTGAGGCAAGCAAGTAACACTATCACATCTTAGTATTGTCATGAAAACTGGTTTGGCCTGTGGATGTCATGGGCTCTCTGAGTTCCCTGTACAAGGTGACACAGCTACTATGTTAAGAGCTGGGATCTGAATCCAAGGCCCTTTAATTTTTTTTTTTTTTAAGCCCAGTAGAGTTTTGTTTTGTTTTAAATTTCTCACTATTGCTAGAAAATAAAACATTTCGACAATAAGGAAAAAATACTAACTAACTTTCATTCCAGTCACTTCAATTATACACAAATGAATGCTTACTGATCTGGAAGAACAGCTTCTTCATCCAAAGAAAACTTCCCTTGAATCCCATGGCACAGTTCAGGTGGCACATCCACAGGCTGTGAAAACACATTCCTGATTATACACCCAGAATGGAAAGAGATGCAGAGGGCACCTGTACACCCACTCTCACAGCAGCAGTACTCCTAAGAGCCAAGAGGTGGGAACAACTCCAGTGTCCATCAACAGATAAATGTGTAAACAAGCATGATATATACATACAAACGGAAAATTACTCAGCCTTGAAAAGGAATCGAGTTCTGGTACATGTTACAACACAGGATGAACCTTGAAAACACAGTAAGTACATCAGACACAAGGGACAATACTGTGATCTCACTTATACGAGGTAGCGAGGATAGGCAAATCCACAAAGACAGAAGGCAGAAGGGTTTCCACAGAGGGGGAAGGCAGAACAGGGTGATATTCTACAGGTACAAATTTCTCTCTGGGAAGAGAGAAAAAAGTTCTGGAGATGGACAGTGGTTGATGGTTGCACAGTATAATAAATGTACCTAATACCACAGAATCTTATAAAGCACAGTTTCAATTTCAAATCTCATGTTATGCATATTTTACCAAAACACTTGAGAAAATACATTGCTAAGTAAGTAGCCAATCTGCACCCCGTACCTCTGTGGACCCTGTCTGGTATAGCTCTGAAATGAAGTCATGGAGTGGGTGATGTTTCCCCACAAACAACACGTCGCCTCCAAGGCTGTTTCTCCGGGCTGAAAGAAAAGTAAGGAAAAATAAGTCTCACACATCAAATAATTGAATCTGCTAAACCAATTTTTATGTGACTAAAACAAGGGATAAGATCTAAGTTTTAAAAACTTGGGAACTAGCAATTAGCGTAATGGCGATGTCGCTGGACTCCCAGGTAGTCGACCGCGGTTCAAGTTCCGGACCCGGTGGCTTAAACTCATGCCGGGTGTGTGTGTGTACGTGCCCAAGATCCCGAGAGGAGAATGGAGGAGAAGGGATTGCGGCGTGACCATCCCCTCTGGGGGGTGATTTCTCGCTTTCTGTCTCTATGTCTCTCTCTGTCTGTCTGGCAAGCGCACGCGCCCTATAGCGAAAATCTCTCCAAAAAAACCCCACAAAACTTATGTATAAAGTTTACAAAAAGCATAACTTCATAGTGATAGACCTAAAAGAGAGATATGTCTCTAAGGAAGAAAAAATATCCATAATAAGGTTTCAAAGATCACTAAGAATTGTGCGCTACAAAGATGTGCAATGACTGAAGGTAAGTAAAACATTGTAAAAAGAAAAAATTAAATTGTTAAGTCAAATTGGAAAAAAAAAATCAGTAGCTATCAGAAAAAAAATCAGAATGATATCTGAATTATGTTGCAAGATAAAGGGTAAAGCTTTCTTATTTATAAAGAACTACATTTCTTAGTGTACGAAATGCATAACATTCCCTGAGGAAGCTCACATTCTATCATCTGATGACAAGGAGTATTCTAAAGACAGTTGATAGAGAAATTGTCTCTATAGGTTAAATACACTGGATATTAAATAAAATTACCCATTGTAAATACTTTCAACTGGCAATACTGATTACAGAACGCCACTTTCTATGCAAAATAACACTTTAAGTTAGTATTCTAAGAGCAAATGTTTTTGTCTCACCCTCATCTTTCAAGCAAAGTCATAATTTGAAGAATGAGGGAGTGTAGAGGAGCAATGGAGGAGTTGAATAACGTCTTTCTTCCAGCAGGCCAACATAGCATGTGAGTGTGTATCATATAAGAGTCAAAATGTCAGGCTAGCCCTATAGCCTGGTGGTTAAGGTAGTCATATCCCACTTGGCTGGCCATGGTTCAAATCCTGGCCCCAATGGCTTAAAAAACACACAAGGCATGAGTGCATGTGCACCCAAGATCCCAGTGGGACAGAGAAACAGAGGAGAGAGGACTGCAGTAGGACAGTGCTCTATTCTCCCTGCTCCGCAGCACAAATACCCTCTGGCAATATGGTTAAAGTGCTGGACTCCCACATAGCCCTCCATGTGCCAGCCCTGTTAATTCTTGGCCACTTGATTTCTCACTTTCCCTTTTTTCCTCTTTCTCCAACCAAATTAAACAAACAAACAAACAAACAAAAACAAATAACAACAAATGAAATAATTCTATTAAAAAAACTCAGAAGAATCAAAAAGTCAAAGGTATTCTTGAAGTGTTGCTTTTCAATAAATTTGTTAGACTTGTTAAAAATTTAGTAAGCACTAATCAATTTATAGATAATAAATTAAGGAGTTAACATTTGTTACAAGGAAGTAAAATGAGAAACTGGACAAATGATTTAAAAAGTCTAACTGTAGACAGAAATGTCAAGTCTGCTACACAGACTCAAAGCCAACCAGGCGGAATGGGACCTTACTCTCTTCGGGAGTGAGGTCTGGGTACACCTCCTCCAGCGCAGCCCGCAGCCTTCGCTCGTCCACAAACGGCAGCAGAGCCACCCCTGGGGAGAAAGACACACCAACAGCCCCATGTTAGAACCAGCTAAACTCCAACTTAGGAATGTTTATGCCACATAAATATTCCCAACAGGACCTCCCTGCTAAAATAAACACATTCAGAATGAACAACTACCATATCGCCAAAATGCCACGCCAGTGTTTTCCACATGATAGTAGAAGAAAACCTTCCATATATGCTCTGTACCTGTGGCGACCAAGATTTTTTAATGAAATGAACAAGTCCTTAGGGCTTGGTACTTGCTTTCTTTTAAAACTAATACCACTTGTGTTATTCTAAAACTGTACAGTATTGTTCATATTTTAAACCCTACTAATTTACATACAAAAAAATCTTGCTTAAATAATTTGAGTGTGAGATACAGAACAGAGACTGTTCATTTTAGGGCTGAAAATGTTCCTCTGGAGTATGTTGGAATTAACGGTATTGCTTTATTTGGACCCATGTGCATAATTTTAATGAAGTATGTCCCTAACATCTATTACTAAAAATATACACAAAGGGGGATCAGCAAATGACATGATGGTTGTGTTGCTGGACTCCCACATAGTCAACTACGGTTCAAGTTCCAGACCCAGCAGCATAAAAAAAAGCCTCATGCCTGGCATATGTGCGTGTGTCCAAAATCCTAAGGACACTGGAGAAGGGAATGAGGAATGGCCCTCCTGATCCTGGGTGATTTCTCACTTTGTCTCTCCAGTGAACACACATGCCCTGTGGCAAAAATCTTTCTTAAAACACACACACACACACACACACACACACACACACACACAAAGGTATTGAATGTTTATATGTTCTACTATATACAGCATAAAAAGAATTTTGGCTAAAAATAAATTGTAGGATAAATAGTAAAGATAAATATTAAGTAAAGATAAATAAATCTGCAACTACTGCTGTATTTGTGATTATTCCCTTTAAAATTGTGAGAAATTAAAAAGTTTAGAAGTTGCCAAAAGTTAGGAAACATGCTAAATTTTTATTTTTTTTGGAGAGGTTTTTGCTATAGGGCATGTGCGCTCACCAGAAAGACAGAGACAGAGAGACAGAAAGCGAGAAATCACCCCCAAGAAGGGATGGCCATGCTGCAATCTCTTCTCTATTCTCCTCTTGAGGATCTTGGGCATACACGCACACGCACCCAGCGTGAATTTAAGCCACCGGGTTCGGAACTTGAACCACTGTCGACTATATGGGAATCCAGCGACATAGCCATTACACCAACTGCTGGTCCCAACATGCTAAATTTTACTGCCTCGTAGATTTTTTTTTCAAGTTAAAGAGAAAACATTAATAAGATCTAGTATGAATTTTGAAGGGCCTAAGAAAGAGATTTAAAAGATATTAATGCCTAACATCAAAGTTGGGTTATCTCAATTACTGATAAATATATATATGGAAAAAAACTTAGAATGTTATTCAAGTTTTATTTAATTATATACTTAAGAGAAATACATCAATAAGAAACTATAGCCTTATCTAACTTTTGTTTTCTACTTACTAGATTTAGGATCTAGAAAAACAATCAATTTCTAAAAGACTGTTGACAATATCAACCCCAGAAGACAAATCCAATCAGCAAGCAATTTGCAGAGCTAGTGACAACAATAAAGTTACTAAGCAACAAATCAGCCCTATAGGCCAGGGTAGAAAGGAATGCTGACATCCAGATAAAATGACAGGGCTTGAGCGTGAGCTGATACTAAAAATGAGAACAGTAGCTTCTGCTTCCGAACACTTAGTGTGGCCCATGGATTACCTTATTTAATTCTCTGAACCACCAGAGGCAGCCCAATCGTGGGCTCGTGTTTCAAATGTGAGCTCTAGGGTCAGGCTCTCTGGGTTCAGATCTTGGCTCTGCACTATGTGACTTTGGTCAAATTATTTAAATTCACACGCAACAGGATGAAGCTGGGCCTTTACCTCGTATGACATACAAAAATTAACTGAAAATGGATCAGAGACGTGTATGGAGAGCTAAACTATAAAATTTCAGGAAGAAAACAGAAGGAAAGATTATAAGAACGAATTTGGCAATTATTTCTTGGATACGACCCCAAAGGGCAACATTAACACAAAGATAAATCAGACTTCATAAAAATTAAAAATTGTTTAGGATATTATCACAGAGTGAAAAGAACACCCACACTAGAAGATTAATGTCTAGAATACAAGGAGAACTCTTAAAGACCAACACCAAAAATCAAGTAACTCAATTCAAAAATAGGCAAAGAAGATATAGAAGTGGTCAATGAGCACATGAAGTATGCTCAACACCACTAATCATTAGGGGAAACAAAACAATGACATACCATTTCACATCCAAGGTTATTATTTAACAAACAAACAAACAAACAAACAATGGTGATGAGGATGTGGAGAAATTAGAACTCTGTGCATTACTTTTTCCTTGGAGTTACATTATACGTAGAAAATACCTCTTATCAGTGATAGAAATTATATACACTACAATGATACAGTCATCAAGTCCTCTGCATGTTTATAGGTTTAATTTGGGGGGATGGTGGTGCTAGTTGTGTGTGTGTGTGTGTGTGTGTGTGCGGTTAAGTGTGTGTGAATAAGATATGTCATACATGGGGACCAGTAGATGGCATAATGGTTATGTCGCTGGACTCTCATGTAGTCAACCGCAGTTTGAGTCCTAGACCCAGTGGCTTAAACTCACACCAGGCATGTGTGCATTCATGCCCAAGATCCCAGGAGGAGAATGTAGGAGAAGAGACTGTGATGTGGTCATCCCCCCTGGGGGGAGATTTCCTGCTTTCTGTCTCTCTCTGTCTTTCTGGCGAGCGCACACTATAGCAAAAACCTCTCCGTAAGAAAAAAAACACACATAAAGAAATATATGTGTTGATTTATTTATTTCTTCCATCAGAAGAAGAAGACACACACACACATATATACACAGATGGGCACCTCCAACAGAGTCTTCACACTGTTACTGACCCTCAGTTTCGGCAGGCCAGGATCACAGACATGCACGTGAGCACCCAGTGGGTTTGAGGAGACTCTAGGACATGAACTGGAGACCTTCTGCCATGACCTTAGCATCACTGAGTGCTGCATTACTGCTGCTCCATCGTGGCTGGCCCAAGAACACATCTGTTTACTAATGTACTTACCACTCTTTATCATCTCCCTCTTTCCCATGCCTCCTCTCTACTTAAATCAAAACAAGCTCTTCGAATCACGATTCCAATCCATTGACATATAAGGAAAAATGACCACAGAGCACACTTACATAACCTCAGCCAATGAAGTGCACTTCTCATTACCTTCCTATTAAAAGCTATCTGGAATTTCTGCTACTATGTAAGTCAAAGTAAACACCAAATCTCAAAAAGCAATGTTTTGATGTATGTATTATTTATGTACCTCGGTCTCATATTTCTCTTTGAGTCAACTTATTGGTCATTCCAAATGCAGGGAATAATTAAGAAAAAAATGAAAAGAAGGTTTTGGCAAATATGCTGATTATTCTAGAAAAATGGTAAAAGAAAAGGTTAAGATGATTTGCTAAAAGCAGGCTCTGGTGTGAAACAAGAGTTGACTTACTATGTGAGAGAGATTTATTTCTTGTTTTTCACACTAAATCATTACACATCTATTCAGTTTATTCAGTGGTAAATAACCCCTTAACCTTTATATTGCCATTTTTACAAAATCTATTTGAGAAAGAAATGAAAAAATAATAGTAATGATTAATGTCCTGTATTAAAACTAAATGAAGTTTCTAGTGTGTTTTTCAAAAGTTTCCATTGAATATAAGTCAATCTCTACACAGATACTTTCTGGTCTCTGCATTACTTAGCAACCCCAGGAGGTGCTAATGAGAGCTGGCCCCATGACCGAGTGTTAAGGAGTCACACCCCACATGGCCACCACAGAATGAACCCCATTCCTGGAGGCCTAAAAAACATGCTGAGCACGTGTGCATGTGTGCCCAAAGTCCCAACAAGATGGAAAGACTGCGGCATAATCACACCCTACTATGCTACTGGCTGGCCCGGAATATTTTTTCGTGGAAATTTTTGATCCCATAAAGCATGTTTGCTTAGGATAACAACAAAGGACGGGTCAGCTAGTGGCACAGTGGTTGGGGCGGCCAGATCCCACATGGCTGACTGAACAGTTCAAGTCCTGGACCTGGTGGTTTGAGGGATACACTGGGCGTATGCCTGTGCCCAAAATCCCAAAGGGAAATTAGAGAAGGGATTGCAGTGTGGCTACCCGCTGGGGGCGTTTTCTCACTTTCTCTTCTTTTTCTTTGTCTTTCTCTAGGAAAGCATGCACTATATAGCAAATAGTTAAAATATATATATATATACACAAAGGTTTGTCTAAATTTTACCTTGCCATGCATATTTCTTCCCATTCAAGTCAATAGCAAAATCTTCAGGATAGAAGTCGATTATACTAGAATCCTGTATCAGAGACAAAGTACAGAATCAAAACAAAAGTCACACACCTCTATTCTTATAAAGAATTTGACAGGACTTTCATCCAAGTTCTCAGACTGATAGGCAAGTGAACTGCATTTCTTTTAGTACTTTCTGCACTTTACTGTTTTAACTATGGGATATGAAAGTAATTAGAATTAACGTTAATAAAATACTTGACAAAAACCCAATTAGCAACACAGCAAAAATACTGAGAGACTCACTGGATCGCTCATGAGCTTCCGCCAAGACGGAGGCAGAAAGTTACCACTTGCAGCTGGAAAAACTCCCATAAGCTGTTCCAGTGGTTTAAACTGCAAGAAAAAAAAAGAAAAGAAAAGAAAAAAAGACCTGAAATTATCTACTCCCAAATGCTACAAATTTCATGACGTTACATAATCAAACTTACCGGTTTCGTGCCTTTCTCAAAATCAGAAGGCATGTCTGCAATACCTTCAAAGTCTGATGCAAATGGTGCATAATGAAACGGATAATACCACTTCCAGGAGGCACAGCCCTAGAACCATTAAAAACATGCAAAAAATAAAACCCAAAACCTAAGCAAGCAAAGCACACAGTGGAAAAAGAAATTAGACTACTAGCCTATGACAGTCTTTGTAAAACGCATGACTTCTGATAAATATTACATATATTACATTTTTCATGACTCCCAGAAATTGCTTTAATTAAATCTGAACTTTCTATTTCCTACCAGTGGCTCTGCGACTCTAAAAATACTGCAAAGTTTCTTGAATAATCAATAGTTAATGCCCAACTTCATATTTACTAACATAATTTAGTGAACATTTTTATCCTTAAAATGTATCTGGTGACATTCCTCTCCCACTCCAGGACTGCTGCGACCAAATCCAAGAGCAATTGCAGGTGGCATTCACTAAGCACTGGAACCGTGGTTGAGATCTACACAGTCAAAAGTTTCATTTCACAAGCTACCATTATATTTTCACACGACACAGGTGATAGAAAAGAGGTACCTTCCTGACAGGTGGTTTGACTCTGAACCTAGCGAATTAAAATTCTGAGGGTAGGAACAAAACATGCAAATTAGAGTCCTTTGCCCAGTACACTGTTACTTTCTACTTAACACCAAACTTCATGTATTCCCAAGTCACACCAAACTTAACTTCGTTTGCCTTCTGAGCACAAAAGCAATTATTAACTATCACTGACACAATCCCCCATATGTCTACTAATCTCTCGCCAGTCTGACATCTCAATTATCAAAAGGTTCAAATCAGATAGAGATTACTCCAATTAGGATGCACTTCATGCAACATCACTGCATTAGGAAAGAGAGGCATTGTTCAAATTTATTTCCAATTCTTATCGGTATTTTCCAGGTGCTATTTTCTGTTTGGTAATTTAGTGACTGTCAACTAATTATTTAATTATTATTTAATCCTAATTTTTTAAAAGTACTAAACTTCAATCATCTTAAAGGTGAAGTACAACCATGCTACCTGAGGCTGAAAATGCCTTAACACAACCAAAACCAGCTTTCTTCATATATTAATATCTAAGGAGCTGCATAGTCTTTACAAATGAATGTTATTAACATTAATGAATTTCTGAATAGGAAGCTTAAAAAAGTGAGCCTGGATTCTGTTTTAAAATATAGCACATTATTGGGACAATTATATTTGGAAAAGGTTGAGCTAGAGCTTTAGAGAAAAATATTATTTTTGTACCTGGTAGTAATACCGAAGAACCCAGCAAAGCCCTTCAACGTACGACTGGACCACTTTACGTCGGAATTTCTCATCAGCTGCATCAACATCAAATTTGTTCTTGTAGTACCTCTGCTTCCAACCAGCTTCCCATAACCTGAAAAACAGACAGAGCCAGTTTACATTGCATTACTACACTTTCAGCAGTACAATGTCTACTGACTTATGCCCATTTATATTTAATATCTGAAGGGAATGTGAATGTGTCACAGAAAGGCTGGGAGTGAACTGTGGCGCTGCAGCGGAACACGGCGTCTGGGAGGCCATCCCACGGGGGAAGTGCCCAGTGCAGAGAAGCCCTGAGCACAACGGAACACTCCTGTCCTGGAGCAGGACTGGCTGAGGTGGTAGGTGGATCTGGTGTTAAGACCCTGGGGGTGGGGGGAAGGGGAAGGACAACATATCTTTCTCTGTCTCTATAGCTCATGGAAGAAATAAATAAATAAACTTAAAACAAAACAAAACAAAAATGGCCAGACAATGGCCTGGTGGTTAAGGTAACTGGATCTCATGTGGGAAAAACCGGCCGTGTATGTGTGTGTGTGTGTGTGTGTGTGTGTGTGTGTGCACCCTAAATCCCAGCAGGATGGGAACAGAAGAGACTGTGCTGTCTCCATGCCCTGTTAGGGGAGTGCTTTCTCTCTCTCTGGTAAATAAAAAAAAAGCAGTAATGCTAACCTAAACTATTTCTAAAAATCCACTTTCATATGATTATTTACTTAAAGACAGTTACACTGAAAACCCAAACGTTGATTCTGGAAGACCATTATAAAACTACATTTAAGGGAACCAGCAGTTAGCGTAATGGCTATGTCGCTGGACTCCCACGTAGTCGACCGCGGTTCGTGTCCCGGACCCCGTGGCTTAAAGCTCACGCCGGGCGCGTGTGCGCGCGTGCCCAAGATCCCGAGAGGAGAATGGAGGAGAAGGGATTGCGGCGTGACCATCCCCCCTGGGGGGTGATTTCTCGCTTTCTGTCTCTATGTCTCTCTCTGTCTGTCTGGCGAGCGCACGCGCCCTACAGTGAAAATCTCTCCAAAAAAAAAAAAAAAAACTACATTTAAAACAAGAACATAAAAAACAGAATAACTATTTATTAAAGTAGACAGTGAACAGGTATTTGCTCAAACTATTATACTGCTTTACATATTTTTGACTGTACAAAAATTCTAAAACTATATTTTAAGATTCAAATGATTCAAATGATGATTATGTCATAGTTCAAGTTCCTGTTTGTTAAAATATATTTAAAGTATACAAAGTGTCGATTATGTAAATTGATTCAATTAAGTTTAAAAAAAAAAAGGCATAAAGGTTCATAAAAGAATAATTTCATCCAGTATAAAGATTATGTCACTGGATTCCCATGAAATCAACCACGGTTTGAGTCCCAACCTGGAGCCTTAAAATACACCAGGCAGGTGTACATGCATGCCCAAAATCCCGAGAGGAGAACGGAGAAGAGATTATGGTGTGGCCATCTCCCCGGAGGGTGATTTCTCTCTTTCTGTCTCTTTCTCTCCAGCAAACGCATGTGACCTATACCAAAAATCTCTCTCTCTCTCTCTCTAAAAAAAAAATAATCTAGGAACCAGGCAAGCACTAAAAATACAATGTTAAGAACCACATTTCTACCCCAAAATATATGCTCTTTTTTCTTAAAAGAATTATTGGATGTTTATGTATGTGTTTATTTATTTGTGCACATTTCTCCTTCTCTAAAAGATTCAAGCATTTTTTAAGCAACATGAAGACGGCAAAGAACAGTAAAGAAGAGTCAAGACAGATCAAGAACATGAAGACGATTCTCCATTAAGAATTCTTTTTAACATGTGCCAGACCGCACTTATTAATCACAGCCTTACTTCAGAATACACCATACCAATTTTAATTTCCCCCTATACAAAAGATTCACAATTAAGAAAAAGGTCTCTGTCCATAATGCAGATTATCACTATTTTGCAGAAGGTATTAAAAAAGCAAGTCCTGAGAATCCCAACCATTTCTACCTTTATTATCCTCAGTACCAGAATTAAACGATATAATGCTAAATAAATAAGTAAATACTAAACTAGGATTGATCATGATGGCTACATAAAACACAACCCCTTCCATGCACCAGGCGTGTTTTCCAAGCCACATGGTTCAGGACTCGAACTCGCCAGTTGGCCATGTGGAATCCAGAGCTTTAACGTCCATGCCACTTGCTGGCCCACGAGCTACAATTTTTGAGATTGTTGATGTTTGGCACTTTAAACCCAGGGTTCAAATCTGGATTTAATTACATGAAAGGCTATTGATCTCATTACATAAAAATCTCGAATTTTGGATAGATAAAGGCATCAAAATTTCCTATTATACATTAAGTATACAGCTAAAGGGAAACTACTGTGTCATAAAATAAAACAGGCCATATGCAAGTTTGTAGTTTAAGAAAATCCATATTTATCTCTTCACATTATAATTTTTGCGTATTTCATTTTGAAGAACTTTTCAGTTGGGAAGATTAAAGCAAACTATATTAGGCATCCAAGTATAACTGAACTTTCTAGGTTAAACAGCTTGAAAATTTAATCTCCAAATAGCAGCATTCAGATCACACGGTGAGAGCTAAACACCTCGTGTCTAGCCGATCTAGTGCCTGGTCTCAGAGGGAAAAGTGGCTTGGAGGACGAAAACCTGCACGCATACTAATCTAGACACTTGGGCTTAACAGCAATGGCTTACACATCTCACTGGAATTTACTGACTATTCCAACCCTCCACATTAATTACTGGTGGATAAAAAGATCACAGGAAAGCATCTGAAGGCACTGCTGCTCTAAGCTAAATAGCATTAATTAGATCGCATCTATTTCAGCAATTTGCTAACAAAGTGCAACCAAAAAATGGCTTCACCTGACATTATCCTCGGGCTCAGGTTCACTGTCGCTGTCGTCTGCTTTTCGCTTAATTCCTCCTAGTGGAGACGGGGAGCCATCGGATGAGAAACTCACATTAGGAGACACTGAAGGACTCTGCAGACAATATGACATTACAGAAGACGGATTTTATTATTCCTTTTACTGCCACTGCCTACCATGCTTCACAGTATCACATCTTTAAAACTATTAAATAGAAATCGTAAATTTCATTTAGAAAATACAGACACTGGTCTTGCCACAGTCCACCTGCCTAAAAGAGAGCAAAACAGTGCCAAGCTTACTATGCTTCAAAGCAAAAAAAAAAAAAAAAAAAAAATCACATTATTAGGGTAAAAGTTGTTTCTGAAGAGGGAACCAGCAGTTAGCATAATGGCTATGTCGCTGAACTCCCACGTAGTCAACCGCGGTTCGCGTCCCAGACCCGGTGGCTTAAAACTCACGCCGGGTGCGTGTGCGTGCCTGCCCAAGATCCCGAGAGGAGAATGGAGGAGAAGGGATTGCAGCGTGACCATCCCCCCTGGGGGGGTGATTTCTCACTTTCTGTGTCTATGTCTCTCTCTGTCTGGCGAGTGCATGCACCCCATAGCGAAAATCTCAAAAAAAAAAAAAAATTTTGTTTCTGAAGAAAAAAGAAAAAAATAGTTTTATAGATTTCACTTTAAACAATAGGACTTCAATTTTTTTTCCTTTGGTGGTTCCCTTATGTTATGAATTCACAAACATTAGCCACCCACCAAGTAACAAAGTTTCATAAATATATATGAAATATATATTGTTACAGGTTGAACAGCCCTAATTTGAAAATCCAAAGCATAACATATTTTCAAATTCTTTTTTTTTTTTTTGGAGAGGTTTTTGCTATAGGGCGCGTGCACTCACCAGACAGAGAGACAGAAAGTGAGAAATCATCCCCCAGGGGGGATGGCCAAGCCACAATCCCTTCTCCTCCATTCTCCTCTCGGGATCCTGGGCACGCACGCACATGCGCCCAGCTTGAGTTTAAGCCACCGGGTCCAGGCCTCGAACCGTGGTTGGCTACATGGGAGTCCAGCGACATAGCCATTATGCTAACTGCTGATCCCCCATACTCCCAAATTCAAAACTTCTTAGCGCTGATATAGTGCCCCAAATGGAAAAATACATCTGGTCTTGCGACAAAATGCAGTCAAAAAGGTGCACAAGACAGTTTATCCAGTGTTCCCAAGGGAAAAGTCCTTCCTAGTTCACTTCCACTGTGATGTGTTTTTTCCATGTTCCCCGGGCTCCCAGGAAAGCACATCCACAAGGGCAACAAATAGCACCAGTGCAGGCAGATGACCTGAGGCAAGTCCCCACAACGTTCCACATGGGGCCAAGACCGACCCGCACCACTCAGTGGTTTTACTGCTTATTCGCTGCCCCGCAGTGTAAAGATACTGTTGAAAATGCCAAAAAAGGTCCTCACATATTTATGGATAACAACACTAAGACAGCTTTGCTTTCTGATAGTTCCATACACACGAACTTTGCTCCACACACAAATTAACAAAAAACTGTATTAGACAGGGTCTGTGGCCTGATGGTTAAAACAGCTGGATCCCACATGGCTGACTATGTGGTTCAAGTCCTGGACCTGGTGACTTGAAAACATGCCCAGTGCCTGTGAGTGCATGCCCAGAATCCTGAGAGGAGAATGGAGGAGAAGGAATTGCAGTGTGGCCATTAATTCTGTGAGGCTCTTTCTCACTGCACCCTCTCCCCCCCTTTGTGTGTCCCATGTGGCACACATATCCTATAAGAAAATCTTATAAAAAAGGTAGTCTTGCAATCAGATAAATTATACCAAACTGAACATGGCCTCAGATATAACAGAATCACATGTCAGAATGCAGAATTTAAGCAAACATAGTTTATTATTAGGTACAAGTTGAGGCATCTAGAGAAAAGGAGGGTTAGGAGTTACTGCATTCTGAGGTTTGAGAGAGCCTTTTTGTTTACTGGCCAGAAATATAGTTACTAGTAAGCCTTCTTGTTTGAAAAACAAATCCCACATACAGGAAGAAGCAAGTTAGCTAATAAAACACTGACCATCAGGAGGCAAGTACTGGAGACTAACATGCTCAACAGCTCAGAAAAAATAAAACAGTGAAAAATCAATAACTTAGAGTTCCTTTAAATGAACTGGTAATCTGGCTTCATGGTCTCCTAAAGTTCAAATCATTCTAGGTAAAAATCCCACCGTGCAATGACTCCAATTCCAAAAACTCCCCTACGTAGAAATAATCGTGTCAAGAGGGGTTAAGACAGATCAAACAAGCACCTAACCACCAGTCTCTTCCCTCCCACTCCCATGGCAGGTACTTCTGATCACAGTCTAGGAGTGCAGAACCTGAAGATAACATCATTATAAATTTATCTGTCTCTCAAAGCACTCTCCCTCTCCCTGGTCAAATTAAATGAATGAATAAATAAAAATTAAATAATCCTTAAAAAAAGAGAGAGAGGAAAAGTCAGAAAGTGAGCCACCAGGTCCAGGATTCAAATCGCAGTTGGCCACGTGGGAGTGTCCAGCGCCTTAACCACCACACAACCTGCTGGCCCCAATAAAATAATTCCTTAAAAAAAAAAGAAGCTCTCAGGGCACCTCTGCACAGCAGCTGTGGTGTGGGCAGTGTAGAGTACCTGTAGCTGATGTAGCCTGAGGAACATGATCCTGCAAAATGCCTATAACCAATCCACAAAAGCAAAGAAATAAGAGCACGAAACCTGCCCTCCTCTCTTGCCCAAACACCGAGACATCTGGAGTCCCCATCTTGCTTCTAGCACCATGACACCACCCAGTTTTTGGGAGGAGGGCACTGGCACTACAGAAGCACTTCAGCCACTTAGCTCTCCCTTCACATTCATGTGTATCAACTATCCCGCATGCTCTTCTTTCACATCTAGACATTTCTGTATGGATAAAAATGGATTTAACAGAGTTTTAAAAATCTCAAGGCAAAAGATACTGAGAAACACTATAAAACAAAGTAGTTCCTGGCTAAGTGTTAAAACTCACACGTACACGACTGCAAGAGACATCTGTTATTCACCACTCTTCAATGCCACATAAAAAATAAGTCACTTACGGAGTTATTCTGCATCCTCATTTCATAGGCTGCTTGTCTAGGATTATTGGCTACTTGGCAACCTGGTGAATTTCTTGAACCCAAGGCATGAGGGGTTAATATTCCACCAGGAGTAAAAGCTGGTTGATCTCTCTAACATAAATGGAAATAAACACAGAAATTAAAATTAAATCATGACAACACAGCAGGATGACAAGAAGAGAAGGCAACGGAACAGTCTTCACTGTAAGCACTTAGCTACTAAACTCACTAAAAGACCAAATGAATTTCCATTAACATTACAAGGCTGTCTATGTTTTGCTTTGAGGAGAACTTAACACTTTATAAATACTTAGGAACTCTGCCCTAACGAGCATGTAACACATTGTTCTGACACAGAGAATCTGTTAAGAGTCTCATTACACTAATCCACTGTTGGTTTATAATTTCAGAAAACATTCAAGATACAATTTCCAACAAATAAAAATACAGTAATTAAAATATAACGATTAAGGTTTTAAAAAGTCAAGTCTGATTTATACTTAGGACATACAACCTCTATTGCCTTTCACCTTGTTAGAATTTAACTTTTTATCTCCAATCAATTAGAACTATGAGGATAGCTATAATAGGTGATAGTTATGGCTGACTGAGAAAACAAGTATTAATTGAAAAAACATATATGTGGTAAAAAACGAATATATCCCTCTCAACTTAAGTGGTTTTGAACTCTGGTTTCCTGAAATTGTTCCATCCTAACAAGACATAAAACGCAATCTTTACAACTGCAGTTTTAAAAAACACCAGGGAAGATGAAAACAACTAAAGACTAAGTGACTATAAAGCATGAGGGAGTGAAGACACAGTGACCACAGGTGGGAAGCTCCTAGGAGCAAGAGGAAGGCTAGTTGAGGCTGGGCGAGGAGCAGGCCCATGGAAGGCCGCTGGGAAGGGTAAGGTGGAGAGCTGTAAAGTCAGCAGTCCAGGGGAGGAACCATGAGGGCACCGCTCTGCTCAGCAGGGTCCAGGTGTCTCCCAAAGACAGCAGAAGAGAGGCTGGACAGCTGGAACTTGACCAGATCACAGAGCACTCTGGACCCAAACTAAGACAGAACTGGATCCTGAGGGGACTCAGGAGTTGGTAGTGATTAGGGAGTGGAGAAAGAGAAAAGTTTACAGTGTCATGTTTTAGGAAGCTTAACTTCACAAAGATGGAGGAATAAGACAGACTGTAGAAACTTTCAAGAGGATCCAAAGGGCTGACCATTTTTATTACAAAAATAAAATCCGACTGTTGTCAATAATTCAAACAGCTAAGTGCCACCTGCCTCCCACTTCCAGAAAATCTGTTTCTTCAGCCTCCAGAGCTTAGAAAAAACATCTTTAAAACAGACACTAGAATTTTCTCTCCACATAAGAAGGTGGCTGGGTAAGAAATGATGTCCTTGACCAACTCCTCTCAGTAAATAAAGAATAAAACTACTATAATGAACACCTTCCCTCACATGTAAACTTAACAGCTGACAACCTGGTGAATTTCTTGAACCCAAGGCACTTGGAGTAAAAGCTGGTTTATTTCTCTAACATGTAGTTATTACACTCTTGCCAATCTCATGAAATTAATTAAAACTCACCTTCATTCTCTTTCTTTTTTCTTTCTGTCGTCTTCTGAAACTGTCCTAAAAGTATAAAATCCACATATTCTGTCAAATAATTACACAAAAATGTCAGAGTTAAACATTACCAGGAATGATTCGGGAGACAATGTAAGTTTTAAAGGAAGACCCCATCTATCTAGGTAAGAGATTCAACTAGTAATAGAGTACATGTTCAGAGTGCTGCTGATCAGAACTTTAGATTGAATGTGAAACTGAATTTAGATACAATTTCATTGTTCTGTTTAAATTGTTTATAATCGTTTCTGACAACATTTCAGGAAAATGCAAGAAGATGACAAAGAGCCTGGATTTTACCCTGGAGTGAACAGGCTCCCAATATGGAGAAGATAACAAGTAAGAAAACAGCAAGTCTTAAATTTTAGTTGAAAGTAGTTAATAAGCAGGATTAGCAATATTTTTAAAAAACAAGACAATTTACAGTAAGTCTCTGGTACATAAAAAGGGATAGACAGTTCCTGCCTCCAGCACACACAGAACAAGAGAGGAGCAGAACTGCCCCGCCTCCCACCAGCTTCCAAAAGTCAATCCCAAGGAAGAAAGGAACGAACTGCAGGGTACTACTCTGCTTCTCTTGGCCAATTATGCTCACAGGAAAGGGGCCAGTACGCTGATTTTTCTCCACGCTCATTTTCAGAAAGTACCGTAGTTTCAACCGAACAGGATTTTGGGTTGATCTTGCTCCCCATTACCTCTGGACCGTTCGGGAGCCTCCCCCATCTATGCCCACGTTTTCTGGAGTGAGGTACTGAAACAACAGCTGGAGTGGCCATGGCTGCTGTTGGGGCCTAAAACAGGGCTCTGTGCTGACAGTCATCTAAGTTGAGACACTTCTATCCCTTGGTGGTCAGTCCTGCCAGGTCTGTCAGTCCAGACCTTCACATGATCTAAAAACTGTTCTGCAGGAGAGGAACTAACCGCTGGGTAAGGAAGTCTGCTTCCCTCAAGTGGAGCCCAAATTAATTACCTTAAAACTCCTACAATTATACATAGAAACCACTCATTTTTAAACCAAGCTTTTGTCCCAGTCTTCAAACTTCTCTATCTAGGTCACCAATGGCCTGTAGACTATGAAACCCACTGGTCAGTCTGAATCACATTCTTCACTATGCTTCCAGAACACTACACTCACCTGGGTCTCCTCCTTCCCTCCTGCTTTTGCCTTACTCCCCAGTCTTTTTTTTTTTCTTTTTTTAAGTTTATGTATTCATTTCTTCCATATGGAGGGGGCAGGCATACTCAGCATGGTCTTCAAGCAGCAATCCCACACCCAGCCTCAGTCACCAGCATCACAGGCACACATACCCGTGTGCACATTAAGACCTTGGGATGTGAATCCAGGACCTTCCCGAGTGGCCTCAGCATTGCAAGGTGTTGCGTTATCCCTACACCAACACGGCTAACCTCCAACCTCTTAAAGTTGGTGTTACCAGGGTCCAGTACTTGATTTCTCTTCCCATGGGAATGATCATCTTTTCTCAGAGCTTTAAATACCATCTCTAAGCTACGGGGTCTCCATCTAGGACCTCTCAAACTTAACATATCCCAAATAGAACTGCCACCCACTCTCTGCCTCCCAGTCTTTCTCATGAGGGTTGCTTACAACGTTTTTCAGTTGCTCCAATTTCTCAGAATCGTTCTAGATACCTTTTTCTCTCATACCCTCTATTTAACCCATTAGCCACTCCCATTGGTTGTACCTTCAAAACACATTCAGAATCCAACTACCTCTTAGCATCTCCACTGCCACCATTCAGGCTCCCTTGAATTCTTCAAAACAGCCTCCTCACTGGGCTCACTGCTTCCACCTCTGCCTCCACAGTTAGTCTCAATATGGAGCTAGAGTGACCCCTTTTTTAACATGTATCAGATCTTGTTACCCTTCTACACAAAACCCTCCACTGATGCTGATGCAGAACGAAAGCTGCAGCTGTTATAATGACCTGCAGGCCCTCCATCATCTTTCCGTCCTCATCCTACAACTTTCCTCTAGCATCTTCTGTTCTGGCTTCTGTGAACACCCTGGGTATGTTCCTGCCCGAAAGCCTTGGCACTGGTATTTCCTCTTCCTGCAACCGTGTGGTGTACTTCCTCACATCCTTCAGGTCTTTATTCATTCATCTAGCAGTGAAGTCTTCTACAATCACCATTTCTAGAGCTAAGAAGTCCCCATCTCTATCTTCTCAGAAGCTTCCTCACCTGCTTGAGCTGTCTTCGTGGCACTTGCCACTCTGTAACACATTTCAGAGTTTACTTAATCATGGTGTCTGCTGTCTATCTCCCCCAGAATGGAAGCTCTATGAGAGCAGGAATTTTTGCTTTTTGCTTCTTTATTTTTTGCTGTCAGAACACTGTCCAGCATATGGTAAACACTTAGCAAATATTTGTTGAATAAGTTATCATATGCAGGACAAAAGGCAAACATCAAAACTCATAAAATAAAAAGCATCACATTTTTAGCCCAATGGTCAAATTTTAATTAACAAATATTGAAGTATTCCTTTTACATTATTTGCTCTACTGGTCTGTTAAATACCTATTTCTTAGGAAGTCACACAGGGGCAGAACAGAAGACCACCTTGGTGGTCTTACTGATCTTTAATGCCTTTGGAAATCTGTCAAATGTCACATAATCTCCCCAAAATACATATAATAAGAAACTTTTATACTGAATTTTGGAGAATTTCTCCTGAAGCCCAACCATGGCAAAGAATATCATGATTTTTGGGAGATCAATTCAAATACCCATATTAATGAATCTGAAACATCATGGTATTTATCAAATCCCATACCTCCCCCTCAAATGCCAAGTTATCACCAATCCTGAATTATAGAGCCAGCAAAAGCCACATAAAAGGACTGCTCCCACGTGAGGTTTTTCTATCACATGGTACATGGTACATGCAGTTTTCTGTAAAGCATAAATGATGGCAGGTCAAGTGACACAACTATCACTGTTGAAGATTTAGTTAAAAATGGCTACTGTGGTAGACATTTAATATCCCCAGACAAAGCTAGTTCTGTAATCTGAATTTTGTAGGTAAAAACTCTTGCCATCACTGAAAAAGACCACCAAATACTAAAGGTTTTTGGAGAGAATATTTCAAGTCAACTCACTGTGTTACATAAAAAGACGCCCAAAGTTCTAAGCACAAAGTTGAAGAAAACTGAAAATCCTGTCGGATTCAATGACGTTTAATTTGTTAGAGTGGCTCATGAAATAACGCAGCAATTGCATGTGGCAAAGTGCTCACACTGACATACAGCTTCATAGAGTCAGTTTCGGAAAGGACTTCCCTTTCTGCTTCAAGGACACTTCTATCTGTTCATTTTGTGCACTGCTGGCCTCCCTTGTCTTTCCTCACAATCACCCTCTAACCCACTATGCCCCCAGGCTGTGGCCACTCCATTCCCACTAGCTCCCCAGGGCCTCCCAAGGCCTGGCCCAGATTAGGTGCCAGGTGCCGTCCCTCGCTCTGACCCCTCAGGCTGCACTGCTGGCTTCTTTCCTTAGGGATTTCCCCACACCTGTCTCCATCCCCTTGAGTGCCCAAGATTCCTGAGAAACTTTCACTCCACCCAAGCTCCCTGGGAATTCAAGTTCACACTGTCTTCAAGTATCTCCCATCAGCTTATGGCTCTCAAATCACTTTCCAAAGACACTTCTGCCCTGAGCTTTATACACATCTATCCAACTGCTGGCTTTTCTCCTCTAGGATGTTCTGTGGTCCCTCAGACTCAACTCCTTTTCATCTCCAAAATGAAACTGCATCTCCACTGTGTCTCCACCCCAACCTGCCCCACCCCAGGACTCACTATCTCAGTGAGTGGCACCACAAACTCCTAATCGCCCAGGCCAGCAAACTAGACTTCTCACCTACGCACTCACCCATCATACGTAACCAATTTCTAAGTGCTTTCATTTGATTTCCTTTGTTTTAATTTCTTACTTAGCAGCTGTAATTCTCCACAGATCTACATCCTTCCAACCCTGTACCCTGGCTGGTACGACAGGACCCAGACCCATACTATAGCTATACTCCTAGAGTACAAGTTCCAAAGGCATAATCCGCCTTCCAGAGCATAAGGACGTCCTATAAGACATAGCAGAGACTAGCTCAATCCCAGCATTCTTCTAGCTTTGAATAGCTCATTTCCTATCCTATTGTTTGGACGGGAATTTGGATTTATATCCTAAGTAAGATTAAGTACAGAGAAAAAAGTTTACCGGGCAACCTGAACAGTGCACAATGCATAGTTCCACAAAGAAAGCATCACGACCTTTTACAATAATCAAAGCACCGACTGCTCATGATCACAGTACTGTTGAGACACTGTAGTGATATAACAAAAGCACTCAAAGAGGTTAAAAGTACAATCACAGGATCATCAGAGCCTATTAGAGACAGGAGCAATTTTAGCTACTGCAATAGGAACACTTTACCTCATCATCCTTTCTCTTTTTAAAAATGCTATCCTCAACTTCACCAACTGCTAACATGATCATCTGTACTCTTTGCAGATTGACATAACCACTTTCTGTAAGGTAACCCTGTAAGTGATAAAATACATGTAAAAATGATCTTCTCATAAAAGCAAATACTTCTGTTTTGAAATTATTCAAGAGTAAACTTACCCCAGTTTTGTGTACCACATTTTTGTATATGTTAACCAAACGGTCAATTGCACCTTCCCTGCCACCAGGAGACAAACATTTTGCATTAGGACCAGTGTGCACTGTGAAGTCAAGAAGGCTAAAACAGGAGTTCAAAACCCACACAAATACACATACCTAATCTCTAAGGATGGCAAGTGAGGAAGGAAGTCATTTCCCACAAAGAAGCACATGAAGACCCAGTCATCAATGCTCCTCTCAACATCGAATGTGAATGGGAGGCTGGCCATGGTGAGTTCTCTTTCCAAATACTACAACCAAAAAGGAATGCTGTCACAGAAACTATCAAAAGGCACCCTGCTCCAGAGAGCCAATTCCAGTGAGCACTGCTGCATACCTCACGAAGAACATTAAGCCGTAGGAAGATAAACTCTCCTTCTGCAGAAGGAAGGCTATCTGCAAGTTCATCATGCTGCAAGAGCGAGAAGGGAGATTAGACGAGTCTATTCTAAACCCTGCCATTTTTTCTAGTCAAGCAACTTAAAAGCTCATTCGAAAGAAAGATCCATTTTAATATTACTACTATTAAATGTTTAAAAGTTCACCACATTTTAAAATAAAAGTTAATCATAAACTCAGTCACATCTAGATCAAGTGTCCGCAAATATTGCTATAAAGGGCCAGAGAGTAAATATTTTGGCCTATGAAGGACACACATGGTCTCTGCTGTACATTTGTTCGTGTTTTACTTTGTTTTACAAAACCTTTAAGGCCAGTACCATAGTCTAGTGGTTACGAGAGGGGGGTCTCACATGGCCAGCCATGGTTTGAATCCAGACTGGTGGCTTAGAAAACAGGCCAGGCATGTGTGCATGCATGCCATGCCCCAGTGGGCTTCTCCCTCCCACCTCCCTGTTGCTTTCTGGCAAACACATGTATCTGTCTCCAGCCTCCAGCCCCTTCTCTGTCAGCCTATGCACACAGGTACATGCATGCTGCCTTTACTGAGCTGCGTATCTGAAAACACATGGTATACTTCTTTTCTTAATTTTTCACTTTTTCTTTCCTGGTCCATAGTCTAAAAATAGAAACCTCTTTCAAGGAGACCAGACAGAACCAAGTGAATCCAAAATATGTAACAGTTGGGAGTTACTTAGAAGTATCAAGAAGTTTAATATTTTTGATTTGTGGTTGCTTTTAGGAAGAGTAAACATTTGAAACAAGTAACTTTTACAAACACACCATACATGATGGGTATTGTCCTAGACTCATAGAGATAATTGGCCATGTTAGAAAAGCGTACAGTAGAAGAATGGAGAGTGTGCGTGCATTCAAGTATGGGTTTACTTTCAAGTGCTGTAAGAGACACATCTCTGTAAAGTAACAGCAAGCAGGCAAAAATGTAATCAACTGTAATCTAAATAGCCTCTTAGTCCCTTCTTAGAGTCAACGTAATACTATTTTAATAATACATTTTAAAATGGTTCAAGTATATATTTGGTGCTATGCACATTTTACCACAATAGTAGATTTAAAAAAAAAAAAAAAAAAGCAACTACCATCTCAAAGTTCTTACCGTTCCCTTTTTTTCTCTTGGTAAACCTTCACAATCCTTGACCTCATGTCCAAACTGATTACAAAGACCACATGGTTTGGGTTTGTTTGGTTTGAATTCTTCTCTAATTATTGTAAAGTTGGGCTCGTGGGTGGCAAGGCCGAGCATAATGAGATCAGCTGTCAATCAATCATGAGAAAACTCTGAACAGTGAGCACTTGCAGAGGACCCTTGCCATAACCGAAGTACTACAATACACCAACATAAAGGGAAGCCCAAGGGAGGACACACAGGCAGCCAAAGGCCTAAAACTTCCTGGAAGTTCTTAGTCAACAAGAATCCTGTGTGGACTTGCAACATAGACTACCACTTCGGATTAAACACGGGGGACATTCTCCATTTGAAAGGCAGGTGCACAACGCTATCAAAAGGTTGAATTTTTTTTTAAATTAAGACACATGACAACTGATCACAGATTAAACAGCAACTCAAATACTAATTCCCTCTCAAACATAAAATAAACAAGGTATTTTAGAATTTCTGGACAACCATGGATAATCCATTACAACATACTAACCCAACAACTCTCTAATCCAAGAAAAGCAAATCCCAAAGAAGAGGCTTACCATCCGCTCCACATAAGCAATGATGAGTATTTGGGTCATGGTTAGGTTGAGCTGAAGAAGGGAGACACACATATTATATTTATATGAATGTAATATATCACAGGAAATAACACACATCTTACCAAGTATTTAATTGCTTATCTTTTCTAAATAAAATGTATGGCCAAATATTTATAAGTGAGTTTACCTCTTTGTCTTCTAATGTAATCCATGATTTTGTGTTCTCCTTCACCAGGAGCACTAGCATCAGATAAAATAACCTATCAAGACAAGTTTTTAACACTTTCAGCTCACCTTTCATTTTCTATAGGCAAAAAAATAAAAATTAAAAAGAACTGAATATCCAAAGCAAGCCTGTATAATTCTATCTACTTATAAGATAGTGTTATTAGTCTGAACTTTTTCTGAATAAGGTGTTCATGTGTCAAACACTAAAACTATTCTGTTGGTTAATTTACTATCTGCAATGGAAAAGAACTGTCTGGGTCAGACTTTGCCATGAGAGAAACGACCAAGTGAAAAGTTTCTGCGATTTTTATCCATGTCTAATTAATAGAGAAACAAGCTTAAAACCCTAAAATTACATAAAAGTTCAGTTAAATTTTAGATTTATGAGAACACAGGTATTTTTAAAAGGCAGCCCCACACTTTAATCTTGTCTTTTTATATATAATAAGAGAAGTTTCCATTTAAAATGACTTTCCCATATACATGCATACATTTGCTGAGAGAGAGAGAACTATGTATCTCATTTTATGGCTCCTTAGTGATGACAAAAGGACAAAATTGGCATTGAGAGAAAATTCAGCTATCTAAAACCTGACCATGGAACACACCCCATTTCCAATAACTCTGGAAGCTTCTCTTTCCTCTGACAGTCAACTAGCATTGTATGGGGGAAAAAAGGATAAATAATATCAGTCATATCAAAGTTCAGCCTCAAATAATCACCCTAATCTTTCTGAAGTACCAAAATGTGAAACTTACTGTCAAATTTTTCCACCCAGGGTCATTATTTAAACGATCAGCTATGTAATAGCGAAGGCATTTAGCAAGATTGTCCATGAACTCAGTTCCCTAAAATGATAGAAGGAAATAAATTAACCTATCATTTAAGAGTTAGCAATAGCTACAAAGTATGAGACTACTTACAGGTGTAATACAGTTGCTGTCAAATCTTTCTTTTATTTCTTCTGGAGGAAGAAAGCCACCTACAGAAAAGAGACAGTGTTTTGCTCTTGGCATGAAAAGTAAAGTAAATTACTTAATATTAAGCCATAATAATAACAAAAAGTTCAAATATGAGAGAAAGAGAAGTGCTGTCATCTGAGAAACAATGTTTTCCTTTTGGGAAAGTTTAAATTAAGCTTTAACAATACTAATAAAGAATATATGATATATAAAAGATACTATATTGTTACATAAAAATACAAAACAATGAGGTTCTTCCCTCTGCAATGAGAGAAAACATACACACACACACACACACACAAACACACACAGTGTGTCGGGTTAGGGGCTTTAAACTTGATAATAATTTTTAAGATAAAGGAGTCTTAGATAAATGAAATTAAAAGCTGAGTTTATCAGAGCTTTGTAATAAGAGATAAAGTTATTAGCCAGAAGGATAAAAAAAATCCTCTTTTTTCATCTATATCACTGATTGGGTGCTTCTCAAGAAACAAATACATTTTAATATTTTCTAAAAAAGAGACATCTTTAAAACAAAAAACATTGTTATAAATACAAATGCATTTTAGAGTTTTAGTTACAAGCTGTGGCTACGTACTTGTATACTTCCAGAAAATTGAAATAATAAAATTTATTATAACTGCAGACCTAATCTGACTATACTACTAGAATATTTTTTTACATTGCCAAGTGCAATTATCCCAAGCCAAAACACTACGGCTCTCTTGGCCTATTATACTGCCTTATACAGCAGAATACCAGACAAATCACCCTGTCACAACCATATCCCATCTCCCGTACAGGCATGTTACCCAGTCCCAGGACCATTATCAGCAGCCCCGACCTCTCTGAGCCTCACGGAGCTCCTACCTAAGACAGTGTTTTGCTCTTGAAATTGCTCTTAAAATTCCCTCAAGAATTTTAGGCTTTGGGGGAACTGTGAAGATGAATGTATTACCCCTAGGCCCCTAAATTGTGGAAATCTGAATACCAATCCACATTAGAAGTATATGAAAGCCTCGGCAAATAGCCTTGTAAACAAGAGTCAGATCATCTCTGGCCTCCCAGATAGACTTCTGAGTTTCAAGGGCAAGCAATAAGTGAGCAAACCATGACTGATTTGTGGAAAATGCTTTAGAGCTGTAGCTTTCTGACAGTCCCACAAAGAAAAGAAAGCAGCTCTCCTAATGTGTTTCCACCATAGCTGAAGGGCTGCACTCACCTGCTAAGGGGTTGACGACCTACTCTCCTTACCAGAATCCCCTTCTTTTTATTCCCATGTTTTCTTTTTATTGTAGAACTTGAAAATGAATATGCTTATTAATGGGAACAAAGGAGTCTATGAGCCATTTTTCTCCTTAGTACACAAATATTTTCCTTGGGTATTCTGGGATGTTCACTAAAATAAAACCTCAGCTATCTGCAAAGAAAAGCTGACACAGCACCCCTTTGCAGACACTGTATAAAAAGCCCAACTTCAAGACGTACTCTTTACCTTTGGCCAGTATTTCTTCCCTGACTCGCTGCTTCTCGACTGCTGCTTCCATTCCTTCTTTTGATGCTCTGAACCTCCTCGAACGCTGCTGGTTCATTTTAGCACGTGGTGCCTGGAAACAGGTATTTCACAGTCACATACTATTCAAACTATTCACAAATAAATCTATACATTATGTTGAATCAGTTGTTCTTATAAAAGTAGTACATTAAAATGGAAGAAGGATAAATGATATGTCTAACAATCCATGTAAGACAGACAGTAGATCCTGAGAATTTAAATTTGGACCAAGAACTTGAAAGCTGATCTTAATCAGGTGAGTGAGTGACATAAACATCTCTTAACTCTACTGCACTTCACACTGCAAAGCCCAAGGCCTACTGACAGCTCTTCTGGTCAGGGTGATTCAAGGCACCCAAACAGGAAAGTCCACTTTACTCAAAGACCCCATCAGTGTGGATGAGCAGCTGCTACAGAATTGGGATCTGGAAGACTTCCTCTATGTCCATGACTAAAGGAACAAAGGTCTCCAAATGGAATCCACAATGTTCCATAAATGCAAAAAGAAACCTATTATTATTTCTTGGCCTACAGGACCTCAATGAACTATTATTTCATGTTTCTTACAGTAAGAGGCATAATTTTTACTGTCTTTTCAGTAAGTCACAGCAGTTAGAAAGCAGTTTTGGTTTTAACTAAAAAGTCCTCTTAAATCGCACTACGTAACTTAAATCATTGGCTAAGCCAGAATGAAGTGAACTGGACTGTAAAACTTCAGAAGTTGATGAACTGAGTTCTGGGATTAGAAGGAACCCTGGAATATCCTGGCTATATCTAAATATAACTTACTTAACATTCTCTTTAAGCAATTCCCTTTCCTATAAAATAAGACCATCAAATGTAGCTTCTCAAGTATCAGGTTCTATGATCTACATTTATACTTTGACAAAAGCATATGCACATGTGCATATATATACATATAAGTCAAAATGTGCACATATGTTAAACTTGATGTAGCAGTGAGGCCATAGTGGAGTAATGTTACAGCTTTTCTTCAAGGAAGTTGGCCAAATATTGGATCTGGAATTGGAATATGCTCTAAACAAGACATAGTCCTAATGTGTTTGTTCTTTACTCCACTGTAGATACAACTTAGCAAGTTATCAGTAGCTAAGATTTTTCACTAAGTAAATAACAAGAACCTCACAGAAAAGTTAGTCTTCTTAGACTCAAAGTTCTCTAGCTTCTCCAAATAATTTCAAAAGTATTCCATTAGCCACTAGGATGTACTAAATCTACAAGACAACCTACTTACACCTGGCTAGATTCAGGGTAATGTTTATCTTAATTTTTCCTTATACCTACAGTTTCCTGGCCATTTATTAAAGGTCAGTGAGTAACTGACTTAAATCATTTTGTGGAGTACTCACTGCTTACAGGATTCAACACACTCCTGAGTGTGGCAATGTAAAGCCTTCCCAAGTTGTCTCTCTACTTCCCTTTTGAATCCAAACTACCTGCATTGCCCAGCCAGGTCAGGGTGGGAAAAGACATGGAAAGAATGTTCATCTGCCATCTGAGTGATCTAGAAGGTCTTCCCTGCCCGCAACTGTCCCAACCATCCCCCACCACTGCCTACCAATTTCCAATTATTTTTCACCCTTAAAGAAATGAAACAGATGGGGACCAGCAGTTACCATAATGGCTATGTCGCTGGATTGCCACGTAGTCGACCACAGTTCGAGTCCCAGACCCGGTGGCTTAAACTCACGCTGGGCGCGTGTGCATGCGTGCCCAAGATCCCAAGAGGAGAATGGAGGAGAAGGGATTGCGGCATGGCCATCCCCTCTGGGGGGTGATTTCTCACTTTCTAGCTCTCTGTCTCTCTCTCTGTCTGGCTGGCAAGCGCATATACCCTATAGCAAAAATCTCTCCAAAAAAAAAAAAAAAGAAAAGAAATGAAACAGAATCACTCCATCTCCTAAGTCCCTTGGTAGCAAATGCCCCGTCTCCTCAACACAATTCATGATTTATCTAGTGCCTGTAAGTAACTAAACTCATTAATTTATCTATGTCTCCTTCCTCTTGAGAGCAAACCCTTCAAAAGCAAGGGCAGTCACCACCACCCCAGCATCTCATAGGACCTGGTATAAAATAAGCCTTAAAAAAAGGTTTGTGTAAATGACCGAAAGATAAGCATTCTTTCTCAAATTCACCACCGTCGATGTTTTTCATAATTTCGCTGACTTTCAATCTAGACACAGTAAAACAAAACGGGAGGCTTCTGAGGTATTGATTTTAAGACTCACCACTCCATCGATTGCCATGTAGAGAAGTCGTCTTGGTCTTACAATGTTGAAAAGTCTGTCAATGTACTCAAAAATTGCAACCATCATTTCGTCTTCATTTTTTGGTGCTGGTCTATAATGACAAGCACACAATGTAATATATAGTACAGTATTTCCTCTGTAATTTGACAAAAACGAGTTACATACTTGTCCTCAGGATGAGTACAGGGATGGATAATCCCATTCATATCCAAATACAGATTATCGAACTCCACGTCATTTGGATTAGGTTTACTGGCATCCACTGGAATCTTTACACCATTGCATTCTTTTGGCTAGAAAGAAGGGATAGTTAACAGTAGAGTTTGATTGTTCAGGTATTAAAATAACAGATCCTAGACTCAGTATGAACTCATATTTCATTTCTGAACTGGAAATAAAATAACTTCAAGTAACCTTTAAATTGTAAGATAAGTTTATTTATTCCTAAAAGCAACCTGAAACAGATACTTCCTCTGTAAAAAAATAGATGGCTTCTAATGCAACAAGCTGATCCTGACAAGGGGGAGATGTTTATCCAACTCCCAAGTCATTCAGTTGTCCTAGTGAGAAACTACAGGAGTCACCTTAGATTCATTTCCCTCAGCACACACATCAGTCAGCTATACTGAGTCAGCCCTTTCGGTTCATCTCCTTTCCTCCCCACTGCTAGGACAGTCAGGATGTCAACAGTCTTCACACAACTGTCCAGCTTCCAGGTTCTCCTGCCCCTAGCTCATCCTCCAGGGGGTTTGGGACTTTTCTTCCTAAAATGGGAGCATGCCTGACTTTAATCTTAGCTCCTTCTCCCAGCGACTCTGATAGCAGGAACTGACTAGTAAACCTGGACCCCTGCTAGCCTCCTGACCTGCCCAATCACTCATAATTCCTGAAAAGTGTTCTTTCGTCCCTCAGTGCCTTCGCATAATGCTTCTCCTTTCAGAATGCCTTCTTTCTCTCTGCCAACAACCAATTCCTGAAATCTTATTACTTTCACAGGGTCTGGACTCAGATCAAATGTCACTGCTTTATAACACTTTGTACACAACTCCCAAGAGATTAACTTATCCTCCTCCATTTCCTTAGAATTTTGCCTATCCACAGATAGTATTTTTCTAGTCTTATAATTAGTCATTTTAAGTTTTTCCGAAGTGTACTTGCTCCTGGAAATACTTAATTCTATTTTTATTAATGATATTACTTTTTGTCTTTTTCTTTCAGGGCTTCCACAAGAGTAAGAACATAAGATCCGATTTTAGTTTGTTATTAATAAAAATGTCACCTAAAAAAATAGTTGCCAAACACATACAAATCCTCCCCTACCACAGCAAAACATTAAACAGTTTCAAAGCCCACCATGTACATGCTAAAGCACGGGTGAACCTCAAAAACACGTCACCAAGTGAATGAAGCCAGTCACAGAAGACTACAGACTTGGTCAGCCTACGGCGTAGTGGTTAAGGCTGTTGGATTCCACATGGCCAGCTGCATGGCTTGAGTCTTGGATCTGAAGGCTTGGAAAAACACATCAGGTGCATTCGTGTGCATGCCAAAACCACAAGCCAATGAAGGAGAAGGAATTGCTGTGTGATCATTCCCCTGGAAAATGATTCCTCACTTTCCCTCTCTCTTTCACTCTCTCTCTCTCTCTCTGTCTCTCTTTCTCTGGCAAGCACACATGCCCCTACAGCAAATTAAAAAAAAAAAAAAATAGGCTATATAATGTATAGTCTCATTTATATGAAATGTCTAGAACAGATAAATCTATAAAGACAGAAGGAGTAAGGCTGCTTCAAGTGGAGGACAGGGTGGGGAGATGGGAAGTGACTGCTAATAGAACAGCACTGCTTTGCAAGTGAGGAAATGTTCCAAAACAGACCATAGCAATGGTTGCACAATTCTAAATATACTAAAAGCTACTGAATGGTACACTTTAAGCAGGTGAATTTCATGATATATAATTTTATCTCAATAAAGCTGTTCATAAAATAATTTTTTTAATGGTCAACTCATTAAGAAGGGAGCCTATCAAGATTATGGGGGCCAGCAGGTGGCATGGTGGTTAAGGAGGCTGGACTCCCACATGGCCAACTGTGGTTTGAGTCCCGAACCTGACAGCTTGTTTTCTCACTTTTCTCTTTCCTCTGTCTCTCTCTCACTGTGTCCTTCTCTGGTCAAATTAAAATAAAATAAATAAATCAATTTAAATAAAGCAATTAAAAAAAAGACTAAGATTATGGACTAATAAGCTGCATACACTGGAATGCCAGACACCAGTGACATTTGAAGAATTAGAGCTAGGTGGCACAAATAACTACTAGCCAAAAAAGCAAACTGCGGAAGCATCTAGAGCATATCATTTATAGAAGGCTATGAAATAAAACAATATTGGATATCATTCAGTAGTGAATACATATGCAATGAAAGTAAAGAGAAAAGCAAGGAAATGATAAATGCCAATTTCATAATCGTGGTCATTTTTGAGAGGAAAGGAAGGGAACAAGACAAGGCCTCAAACTGTATTCACAACTGGAGAGAAAGAACATCAAAGGGATTTAAGGACAGAAGGCAAAAAAAAAGCTATTAGTGTTCTACAGATACATGCTTTGAACCAAGAAAGAGGGGTTTGATCAGAAGCAGTCAGCAGGTAAATGGAAAGGAAGAAAAGAGATCAATCTTGGGGGTCTAGAAAGGAAATATGATGACCCCAAACACTGTTTGAAGGCAGGAGACCCTCTGCCCTCCCATCTAGCTTCCATACTCGCAGGTCTACATTATCCTTCCTCCTGTGCAATGCAGCCACCACACTGAGGAAAATCAAGACCCATTCTTTGAGGCCTCCAGGAGGCCAGGCAGTAAACATTTTCTACTTGTAGGCCTTACGATCTCAGTTGCCACAACTTACCATCTATCTTTATAGGATGAATGTAGCCATGAACAAGAAGTACATGAACGAGAAAGGTAGTATTCCGTTAACACTGAATTCACAAAACAAGAAGCCACTGGCCGCTGACCCTTGCCCTAGTGCCTAGAAGAGCACTAGGCACGTGGGAGTTCTTCAGTGGCCACCAAGTATAGTACATGAGAATGTCCACCAGTATTGCACTACTGAGAAAAAACATAATCTGGCGGAGAGGAATGGGTGGGTCCTTGTGGGAAGCTGCACACCCGCGAGTCTGCCGAGGCTTCTCAGAGAGCAAACAATTACCATGATTGGTTCCCTTCCAAAAACCTGACCTTCGAAACCTTGCTCTGATTGGCCACTAGAATCCCTCAAATTTGCATATCCGGCACCTCATGATTGGTCCAAAAGCAACCAATCATAACCCACCATTAACAACCAATCAGGGCCCACCGTTAACAACCAATCATGGCCCACCGTTTACAACCCACCAGAGGTTATATAACCACGATGCCTGGCCCCCAGTAGCCAGACGACTACGACGACCAGGAAGACGACACCTGAAGAGCCTGAAGAGCTGAAACACCGCGCAGTCTCCAGACGCCCCTGAAGATCCTGAAGAGCTGACACTGCATCGTCTCCAGATGACCTGGGAGACCCTGAAGAGCTGAAACACCGCGCAGTCTCCAGACGCCCCTGAAGATCCTGAAGAGCTGACACTGCATCGTCTCCAGATGACCTGGGAGACCCTGAAGAGCTGAAACACCGCGCAGTCTCCAGACGCCCCTGAAGATCCTGAAGAGCTGACACTGCATCGTCTCCAGATGACCTGGGAGACCCTGAAGAGCTGAAACACCGCGCAGTCTCCAGACGCCCCTGAAGATCCTGAAGAGCTGACACTGCATCGTCTCCAGATGACCTGGGAGACCCTGAAGAGCTGAAACACCGCGCAGTCTCCAGACGCCCCTGAAGATCCTGAAGAGCTGACACTGCATCGTCTCCAGATGACCTGGGAGACCCTGAAGAGCTGAAACACCGCGCAGTCTCCAGACGCCCCTGAAGATCCTGAAGAGCTGACACTGCATCGTCTCCAGATGACCTGGGAGACCCTGAAGAGCTGAAACACCGCGCAGTCTCCAGACGCCCCTGAAGATCCTGAAGAGCTGACACTGCATCGTCTCCAGATGACCTGGGAGACCCTGAAGAGCTGAAACACCGCGCAGTCTCCAGACGCCCCTGAAGATCCTGAAGAGCTGACACTGCATCGTCTCCAGATGACCTGGGAGACCCTGAAGAGCTGAAACACCGCGCAGTCTCCAGACGCCCCTGAAGATCCTGAAGAGCTGACACTGCATCGTCTCCAGATGACCTGGGAGACCCTGAAGAGCTGAAACACCGCGCAGTCTCCAGACGCCCCTGAAGATCCTGAAGAGCTGACACTGCATCGTCTCCAGATGACCTGGGAGACCCTGAAGAGCTGAAACACCGCGCAGTCTCCAGACGCCCCTGAAGATCCTGAAGAGCTGACACTGCATCGTCTCCAGATGACCTGGGAGACCCTGAAGAGCTGAAACACCGCGCAGTCTCCAGACGCCCCTGAAGATCCTGAAGAGCTGACACTGCATCGTCTCCAGATGACCTGGGAGACCCTGAAGAGCTGAAACACCGCGCAGTCTCCAGACGCCCCTGAAGATCCTGAAGAGCTGACACTGCATCGTCTCCAGATGACCTGGGAGACCCTGAAGAGCTGAAACACCGCGCAGTCTCCAGACGCCCCTGAAGATCCTGAAGAGCTGACACTGCATCGTCTCCAGATGACCTGGGAGACCCTGAAGAGCTGAAACACCGCGCAGTCTCCAGACGCCCCTGAAGATCCTGAAGAGCTGACACTGCATCGTCTCCAGATGACCTGGGAGACCCTGAAGAGCTGAAACACCGCGCAGTCTCCAGACGCCCCTGAAGATCCTGAAGAGCTGACACTGCATCGTCTCCAGATGACCTGGGAGACCCTGAAGAGCTGAAACACCGCGCAGTCTCCAGACGCCCCTGAAGATCCTGAAGAGCTGACACTGCATCGTCTCCAGATGACCTGGGAGACCCTGAAGAGCTGAAACACCGCGCAGTCTCCAGACGCCCCTGAAGATCCTGAAGAGCTGACACTGCATCGTCTCCAGATGACCTGGGAGACCCTGAAGAGCTGAAACACCGCGCAGTCTCCAGACGCCCCTGAAGATCCTGAAGAGCTGACACTGCATCGTCTCCAGATGACCTGGGAGACCCTGAAGAGCTGAAACACCGCGCAGTCTCCAGACGCCCCTGAAGATCCTGAAGAGCTGACACTGCATCGTCTCCAGATGACCTGGGAGACCCTGAAGAGCTGAAACACCGCGCAGT